TGTGCGGGGTCGAGAACCCTCACTCCGCCCAAGGGGGATGATCGCACCATGTTGCGTTAAAATAGTCAAGCACCCTCGAGGCAGTTACACAGTGCTTATAACTGTCTCTGGAAGTGAAGTGCCAGAAAGTACATTAAGTCATACGCAGCTGTCATCCGTACGCAAGGAAGTAAGCACAAGATGCCGAACACCCTTAGCAGGATGCAGCGCACCCTTCATGCGACTCGCCGAACATCTCACGGCGCTTCGCGCTTGGGGATNGCCGCCGCGCGCAGCTTGCTGCTGACGTTTAGCCCGGCTCGCAGAACCCCCCAAGGAACAACCACCCGCGCGCGCAGGGCTTGCGTTGTGCGGTTTCTTTTTCTTCTATATATCTGCCCCGTTTCAGAGAGAATCGTGAGCCGTGTAGACAACATACCTCAAGGCCCACCGCCTTTTCCGTCTTCATATCGCCCCCTCCACGCCCGCCTCCCTGCAAATCCGGTACTCAGGACGTGGAGGCTTTTGTTCGAGAAGTCGCGCTCGGGTTCATGCCGAGCTTCCTCCCTATCTGCGAGCGCCGAGGCCGCGAGCCCTTCAGTGACAAGCAGAGGCAGTGGCAGTTGATGAGACGCGGGCGATACCTTGAGTTCAATTTGCTCTACGATAGAGGTCGGTCCCGCAGCGGCGGAGTTGTTTCCCCGTCTCTCGCGTCCGCGTGACGACCGCGAGCGGATTTTTATAGTTCTTGTTTTTGTCCGCTCTGTGTTTGGTAGGTGCGTCTATCGACCAGCCGGTCAAGGCATGGAAACTGTCAGTTAGCCCATCATGGTGCCGTGCTGTCGAGGGCTTAAACACAGTACACGCCTGTGGGTAGCGGGTTTTGGTTTGCAGTTTGGTGTAGCACACAACACGCAACCACACCTGATCGACTCTCCTTTGCCAACGACCTTCCTTTTCGCCCGGTGTTCTGTATGTCTGCTTCGCGTTGGATCGATCGATTAATTCGCCATCAGGTGTGAAGTTCGGGCTCTCCGGAGGGCGCGTCGAGTCCATCATGGTGTCAGCCCCGCCCTTAGTCTCATGGACATACAACCACGTCCCGGAGGAGGGGTCGGAGGAGGACAGGCTGGTCAAGATCCTCAAAAAACCTCGAGATTGGGTTTAAGTGACCTCGCAAGGCGAAATATCACGTTTCTGAGCTGCAGCAGATCTTCAAGCACACGCTTTGTACGAGGGATCTGCGCCGGAAGTTTTTTTTGTTCACACACCTGATGTTGTTCTCTCCGACTAGCCTAGATCCTGATAAACGCATCGAGAGAATGTTCGTTGTTGCCGTGGAGCCAGACACGATCGCATTTTGCTGCAATGCTTCACGCTGTCGCGCAGCAGAATTACCAGACCAAGTAGCAGGCGAGGATCAAGGACCACCATTGAGACAATAGGGATAGCACACGAGCCGTAGTCAACGCATCAACACCAGGATGAACAGCAGCACGCGCGATTCTGCACGAGCGGAACAACCTCCCCACAACTTCGAAGCTCTCCGAGGACAAAGGGGGGGGGGGAGG